ATGACGTGTACCAATATCTTAATCTTTTAGTTTTATACATAATACATTTCATAAATAATATTTGAATATAACTAGCTAGCATAGAAGGATAAATTTATATAATGAATATCACTGCTATATGTTACAGGTAGAATGATGTTAGAGAGAGATAAAATATAATAATGACACATAGATTCTAAAGAAAATACAGACATTATAGTGAAATATTCTTATAACGAAGTTTGATCGTGCATGACTTGTATACTTCCTTCATTTCAATTTGTTGTCAGATTTTATTATTTTAACGACATAAAATTTAAGAAACTAAAAAGACTTAAATCTTGTAGCCTTAAACTTAAAAAATATAGAATATACCTAAATACTTTCAAGTTTGTATTCTTAAACATGTTATGTGGAAAATTAAAACTAAAAAATTATCAAAACTCGAAAGAGAATTTTTAAAACCGACTAAATGGAAAAGTAGCACAAAAAAAACTCAAATATTAGTAAACAATTGTCACTTCCGAAAAAGTAAAAAAGTGAGACCTCCTAAAATGGGTAAATGTAACGACATGTTCCCGTCGTTATAGAAATGCCAACGGGAGAAAATTTGGGGCCGGAAAACTTTTTCGTAGTAATTGGATTTTCCCAACCTTGTCCAAATTTGGACGATCAGAGTCATTGAGGTGTAGGGAAATCTGGTAACAATCGGGTGAATCATTTATGATTTTGATTACATGAGTGGTTAGATAACTCGTTAAGAAATCCGTACGACTTTACAGAATTGAATTCGGGTGAGTAGAACTTCAAGAATCGATCTTAGCGTAAAGGGTATTTTCTGAGCGTCGTTGGTTAGAGGTGTGTTGTGAAATGGAGATTTTGGAATTCTCAAAATAGCTCTCTATTTCATTCCAACCGCTTTGGCACTGGATTATGCCGCTCTGGCGGGGACGCTGTAGCGGGGTGGTGACCATTGTGGTGGGCTAGACGCGACTTAAAGTCGTAAATAAACCCCTAAATGACCTTATTTACTTTTCGATTTTTAGAGCTAAGGAACGAACCCCAGGCGACTCCTACTCGTTTTTCACCATTCTTGAGGCTAAAGGTAAGTTTTTCACTCCCAAGAATCCATTTTTCGATCCGTAGAACGTAATAGAATTTGTGAATATTAATGGGGGAGGGTTTTACTATAGATTCTATGGTGAGAACAACCCTAATTTGGGTAATTGGTATCATGAATTTGATCTAGGGTTCATAGAATTGTTAGTAATCCGGGTA